ATCTAAAAACACATAAAAAATTAATTTGAAGAAAATTAAATATAATATAATTTTTTAAAAAATATTTTTGAAATAGAAAAACAAACAAACTTTTCAAAAATTAATGTTAAGATTTTTAATGGCAATCCAAGCCCCTATAGTTCAATATTTTTGTTAAACTGAATTTTTATAATTTAGAAATAGCATTAATTGGGTCATTACTGTCTAGGAATTAATCGAGCATTACAAAAATCATTAGAAGAAACATGACTAGTACCAAGGAATTAAGAGACCTGTGATTTCTCATAGCTAGCAGAGCACAAGGCTGCGGCATATATTGGAAAGAGATCACAACCCATGTAAGATACACTCGTAGTTGTGGTCTTTGTACAGCCTATTTTTTTGGCGCCCTAATTTTATACCGACCGGTCCCACCTGAAGAGTTCTCAATTCTCATTGCACATCATAAAATTTCATGATACGGTGGAAGTTCGAAATCTGAGAGGCCAACGGTCAAATGATATTACTTGAAGAAATTTGGGAGGGCGACCCATATCTTCTACGCGTTCTTCCCTTTTCCTTTTGGCTTCTTCATCGTGTTTCGACTGCTGAATATGATCCTTTAAAAGCAGATTGTTTCCTTCAGAACACAGAGAGCAATGCCCCCCACCATCCCCATCCCCACCCCCACTTTGATTTTCTGTCTCCACTTTTTTCTTGTCACCTCGACCAAAGCTAAAGCTTGCACTTCAAAATAACTACGTAAAAAAGCTTAAATCCAGGAGAAAAAGAGCAGTGACAGAATTTTCAGGAAATTTTCTATAATGCTTATATATTTCGATTGAACTTTCTGCTTAACATGAACTATCAGTGGGATTTCTTGATGAAAGACAACACACAATCATCCATAATCTTTTTACCATAAAAGTAGCTTAAAAATAGCTTTAACTAAACGCACAGGTGTTCAGCGTAATTAATTAATTCATCACTGCAGAGGATGGCGACCAAAATGCTAATTTAATGGTTATTAAATTTTGCTACTAGATATCACGACACAAGCTCATGATCTTTTTGAATAATAAAAGTTATCCATGTATTGATTTCCCAGTCCGATGAAATCTAATACCATCTTGTTAAGGCAGAAACAATGCACAGATGTCCCCTTGAAAGAAACAATTGGCTGTTTTTAATTTGATAAAGGGTAATGGAAAATACAAATGTGGATCCTAGAATATTGGTTTAATCAGGACAAGAAATAAAAGGCCACTAGCATCCATCCATACGTATAACTCTGGATCTTCTGCACATTGCATGATTGATCCTTAAATATATCATCAAATTGCCTCAAAGTAACAGACATGCTTATGAAAATGGATTGATGTGTACTTGTTACAATAGTTTTGTGCTTCTTATCCTGTTCAGGAGGAAAGCAACAACTGATATATTATACTAAAAGTGGGGGGGGAGGTGGAATGGGAGGCAAAGTAGTCAAGTCTGGTCGGTGGCTAGCACGGAGTTTCTAGAGAGGAGCTTCCATTGTCATGTTGTTACTGGTGCACCTGAGTTGCATGTGTGCCTGAATAAGGGTATCCTCGGCTTGAACGGCCAGGTCTTGATTAATAACCGGATGACTTGTTCCTCAAACAACCACCACTTGGACAAGGTCCCGAGCTACCCCTGTCTACCCTCTGTAAATTCTATATTCATCATTAAATGCATCTCAAATCCTTCTCCCATAATGGGCTCTACAAAAATTTTATAATAAAGCATGCTCATGTTCATTGGATATCTCTCGTGATGTGTGATCCTCTCGACTCAACAGTGCACCACCTATCATCAAGAATTATAATTAATCTCAGATGATGGTCTTTAATAATACGTGCAATAGTGTCTTTCTCATTCTATCACCGTTCTCGTACAAGTAGTTACTATTTAAACGTTTCGTTTTTTCAACCAAGGGTATTCTCAAGCCTTTTGGACCTGAGACTATTCCTCTTTCATACATAAAGTACAAAACTAACCTTACAGAAAATTAATAAATAAAAATAAAAATATTTTAAAAAATATTTTTTTCAATAAATTTTTAAGAGATTTTATCAATATAAATATTTCCCTTATATATATTAAGGGAATTATAGTGAAAAAAAATGATGATTTACTAACAGAATTACTGACGAAATAATTTCTATCGGTAAATTTATTGATAAACTGTGAATACTATTTATCATGTCAATTACAAAGAAAATTATTGATGAAATTTTTCATTGATACTTTCCAGAAAGCTCTAGAACAACTACTTTTCAATTGCACTATTAATTGTTGTTCTTTACGGATAAAATCACTAACGGATTAAAAATTTATAAGAGCTATTTGATGATTTTCTAAAAAAAATCAATTCATTTAAATATTACAGACAGAATCACGACAGATTGAAAAATTATCGGTAATTATTGGCGGTTTCTAAAAATATTAATCCCCCATAAAGGAATGTTAGTATTTTTTACATTAGAAAAAAAGAGAAGAATAAAAAGAAGATGTGTGTTTGTTAAGAAATGAAGGAGCCTAGTCTTATTATTGAGATATTTTACCGATAAATAATTAAATATTAATATTTTAAACAATTTTGTTAGTAATTTTGTCTGTAATATTTAATTTAATAAAAAAATTTAAAAAATCTCATAAATATCATCAATGACTTTTCAATTAATTGGTGATTCCATCTATAATATCTAATTTGAAATTTTAATTTAATCAAAAATTTTTAAAAACCCTGAACACTGATAACTTTTCAATTCTTTAATGATTTTACTTGTAAATAACAATACTTGACAGTAAAATTAAAAAGTAAACAGTTCTAATACTATCTAAAAAATACTGATAGAATTAACATGTCAACTATATCTATGTAATTAGTATAATGAATAGTGCTAGAAAAAAATGAACAATTTACCTACAAGTTTATGATAAGTTAACTCGGATTAATCAAGATTAAAATAATATTTTGTCATTTCAATATATTTTATTAAAAAAATATTTTCTTAAACTTTTATAAGTTAAACTATTTTTTTACTAGTTACTTAAATTATTTTTAAATTCATTAAATTAATATTATATCAAATCACATGCGCGCATATATATTTATATATATATATATATTAAAAAATTTATTAGAAAAACTAAAAAATATTATTCAGCCCGCAGTCGCATGGTGCGGGCTTTAAATGGAGTCCACCCACATTTGATGAACAATCCACCCACACGAAATTATAATTAAAAAATTGTATGGCTTCATTAAAGAAAATTATGGATATCTCGTCTTGATTGTAATTGGCAAATCATGGTTATCAAAACACTGAACAGAGATGCTGTTGGAAGAAGAAAGGAAAACCCACTAAATACAAAAAGGAAGCACGAAAACTGAAGCAGAGAATCTTTACGTCCAGATTGTTTATTATTCCAAGCAGACCGTCCTTGTAAGAACAGCAGACGCCACATGGTAGAAAATGTTGGGCTACGTTCTAGTCTATGTGCCGCACTATACTATGATGCCTCACATTTTGCCACGTATATTCTGTCCCCATGTACACGAAAAACACCCTTTTCATGCTCCCTCGCCCGTCAACCCAATAGTAGACAGTATCTGGAAAAGACCCTTGATTGAAAATTGATCTTTTTCCTCTTTGCTCTTACAGATAGATTTGGGACCTTCTGTTAACATTTTTGGATCTTATCGTCTTCAACATCTTAAAAAAAAGTGATAACGGTATTAAAAAAGTAATGGAATCGCCATCAGCAACGATAGACGGGAGTGCCAATGGAGCACAGATGGTTCCGATATAGTTAAGCTAAGGACGGGAAGAGGGAAAGCAACGCTCCGAGATCGAGAATGGGACGAGAAAAGGAAATGGAAGTGGGCACAGAAAACAGCGTGGGATAGAGAGACGGTGACATGTCCCAAGAACAAAAATCAAAGGACCCTTTGGTTCTGTGCATTCCTTTTTTTAACTTTTAACCCTTTTCACTCCTCTTTGCTTTGGCAAGAAAATCACCGTGCTGCGTTAGAAAAACAACTCGAGTTATCATTGCTTTTGACGTGCTATTCCTCGATTTGAAGTGACCTGTGCCAGTAGACCATTTCAAAAACTCGCACTTCCTGATTGTATAAAATAATCCCCGCGTTCATGCACGCAAAAATCATTAAAAGTAATTGCAGGGAATATTCGATAACTTGGATTAGCTAATTCTTGGTGATTGCGCCAAAATTTTGATAGAGCAGGCTTCGATGTGGGCATTTTTGGAGGATCAAAAGAAGAAACATGGGCAGTGGCACCTTGGTCCTCTGCTCATACTGGTAGGTGGAATGGAGCAAGGATTGGCATTGGAGGTCCGAAGACATCACGATACTGCACCTTGCCCGATAATGCGTGAGGGTCTGCGTTTTGGAAACTGGAGTTATTACATAACATCACTTCCATAAATTTCTTGCTTCTGGCAATCTAGGACAGACCGACCAGTAAGCTGCACCAACATCTGGCAATCCAATGAAGATTAGTTACCAACGCATCAGATCTGAGTCCTAACTTGAGTAAGATAGGGTGCGAACACACTTGACATCCCACACTTCCAAGCGACTACGACACCTAGCTAGAGCATAAGCTCTTGAAAGCAAAACAGGGAGCACTACTTGCTAGCCTTGTCGTGTTGGATATTGATAGGGGCAATACTGTCCATACAAAGTAAGGCAGGGAGGAGTAGTACCGCTACATATTTGCACTGTAATGTTGATGTTGGGAAAGGGGCGATTTTGTCCACAGAAAAGCTTTACAGCACTTCTTGAAAGAGAAATAGTGACCGGAGAAAATAGTAGAGTTAAAACCTGCGTACATGATGATGACTTACTGATAACCAACCTGACATGCCTACAAGAAAGCACAAAGCCTGTGCTTTTCTACTCTCTTTCACTTCATTGTCCTGTTAAATTTTCAGCTAGTGATGAGGGGAAAGATAAAGTAACAATGAGATGATCAGAGCGAGTTACTTTTCTTTTTCAGTAAAATCATTAGCAGCAACAGAAAAGGAAGCTTCATATAACTCAGAAGTTATACCTCTCTTTTTAGCACATTTGCAATGAGTATGCATCACATTCCCACTTCTTTTACCATTTCTCCGAAGTAGTATAGAAAGCAGGATGGAAAGATTAAAAAAAAAAAAAAAACATTAACAAACGACTGTTCATTCTCCTATCTTCTTTTGGTGTCAGATATTTCCCTTGATTTCACTTATGCTCTCTTTTCTTTTTAATTAAAGAATTGTCAGCGAATTAGACCTCTAAACAGCTCCTGGACACATCAAGTGCTCTGTGCACCTGCAAAAATTGTAAGGAAAAATTACTCAAGCACTCGAGATGTTTCTAGTTCTATTTTGAAGTTCAAAGTCTGGGTGGTGTACAAAATATTAATAAAAGAGACTACCAAATCATTAACAGATTAGCTTTTGTTTACCTTATAATATGATAAGAAGCACAATATATTTTTTTGAGCTAGCAATGGTTGCATTTTCCAATTAGGACATTTAGTGGTGATGGAGGTTTTCGACAATATATACAAAATTCGCGCCTATTGACATGAGGAAAAAGGCATGCAGAGAATTAGACTAATAAGTTGAGGAACACGAAGTATAATCAAACTGAAAGTGAAGGACCAACCTCCATTTGGGTTGTAGGCAACAAAATGTCTCCATCACTGCTGAGGTGGAGTCAAACAGTAGAGCAGCGCCCACCTACAGCAAAATAAGAGACCGAATCATTAATAAGAATAATAAGAAGCAAGAGGGCGTTTTCAACCAAAAACTGGAGTCCAAAAGAAGACAAGGTCTGCAAAAGTGCTTTCAAAAGTTATGCACGGTATATACTCTATCCATCTTGGTTGAGTTCAACTAATCCATATTTTTATAGGAAAAATATCAGCATTCAGTTTTCCCTAGAGACGCTAACTTTAACACTTCAAAGTTGTAAATAGGAAGATGGCATGGAGTCCCCTAATAATCACACGTTTTCAAGTTAATATCAGAAGCTTTGCGTTCTTTTCATGAGGACATCTTACCTGGCTAACTGAGTACATCATTAAGGTTACACAAGACATGTAGCTAGTATGAACACACAGTCCAGCAAAAAAAGAAGGTGAATCTGCAAGAATAAGCTAGATACCAACTGGTTGTGTCAGGTTACCTGGGACACGGTGCAGTCAACCCTGTTTTACTTGAACACACTAACAAGCAATGTTGGTGACTTGCGAATCCATCCTCAAAAGAAACTGAGTTCGGTGTATCCGTGTGAGTATGGCAACAGCTCTTCTACCTCAATTCTAGAATTGGAACAACTCGTGCTTCTCTTGATTCGGCCACGATTTATAGATTCAACCTCAGCCAAAAATACACCATAAACTGGTCTGTGATCTGAGAACCTTGACTCCCCACGTACATAAGATAACTGATGGAGCCCCTTTCCATACCACAGTATACGATCACACCTACATTTGTATATAGCCTGATTATTTGTATGTCATGAAACTCAAGCATATTCCATTCACATAGTCCCATGAAGATGTTACACAGTTTGTTTAAATTTTCTCTGTACCAAACAATAATGTCTTTTCACAATTTTCTCTGAATGAAAATTCTCTCCCCTTTTTTTCCTTATTCTGAAGAAGAGGGGGGGGATGGAGATTACCATGCAGGAGTTCTTCGTTTCTCCTTTAGGTGTCTATCATCCCCTGCATATCTATCTGAGTTATTGGAATACTTGTATGTAGGAGGGAAATAAATCTTCCCTTCACTCCATCCATCAAAGACCCGCCCTCGTCTCTGCTCTATCCGTAGCTGAAAGTAAGAATTATCAAATGTGGTTAGATTGTGCTGCTCTCATCGAAGAACCACCAAACCCTTTCCAAGTAGGTAATAAAACAGCACATAATTGTATATGCATCAGAAGAATATCTAAGATTTTAGGTGCATGCCTGGTCATTCTCTAACAATGCTATCCAGTTGTGCATCTCGACAAGCGTCTTCACAGCATAATAAGACAAGGCAACCCGGTAATTCAAATCACCTACCCAAATAACTCGACTGCCAAGACAAAGAAGATTGAGACACGGTATGTTAATTGGATAAAAAATAAGGAGGAAATGTCTTAGAAAATGCCTTACTCATGCTCTAAAATTGTTTGAGGGGAGTATTTGTCTCCCCTATCATGAACTCTAGGAAACCTAGTCTTCCTAAGGATCTCCATAACGTCAGAGTTTCTTCGCAGCTCGTCTCCCTCCTTCTGCCCAGATGTCAAATGACTACAGATGAAGCAAAAGCTTGTTTGGTGCAATGACATGCTAATTGAAATTGAGCCCTGGAAAACCCTGAGAGAATAAGAATGTTTTTTTGCCCCCTAGTTCATCACAATTTTGCTCTCAAATTCATAGGAAGGAAAATGTACCTTGTTTCCAAGATATCCCATCAATCCTCTGCCCACACAAGACACTTTGAGGTTGCGAATGTCATCTCTGAGATCACTCTTTACCCATACTGTTAGAAATATCCCAACCATTTGTTTACTGGCCACCAAACAGTATCTTGACTGACCTATTTGTCTTTCTCTATCCTCCATTGACAAGGATCCACTGTACTCAATAGGTGGGTATTGAGTAGCACCTGGTGAATCCCCTGGTCCATTCTCATCATCAGAGGAACCCCATTTGAAATTAGGATCATAATCACTTGGTCTATTTCCAAAGATAACCCTGTCACAGACACTAAAACGTCGATCAAGTCTAGGTTGTGCCATCTCCATGTCACCATCCATTCTCATGCTGCGGCTCAGAGACTGAAAGGAACGGCGATGGAAGAATGATGAGGCTTTCTGCCTCGTTGATCCCTCAAAGTCTGCATCCAATTCTACAATGGGATCAGAGATTGGTGAAGGAGTATGGTAACCACAACTGGTGCCAGGAAGACTATTTAGAGTCTTTCTAATAAGAGCTAGCCATTTTTTGGCCGGTCCATTGTCTTCTGTGCCCAAAACATTTCCAGCATTCAAAGGCACAATTTCTTGAAACCTGGAACCGATGAGATCAAATAGATTAGCTTAGTATTAGAACAAAGCTGGTTGCCTTAAACAGATGGGACAAAAAAGAATTGTTTATCTGACAAACCCAAGAACATAAATATCAGCAGGGGGTGAAGTGTGAAGCCAATCCTCAAGGTTCAAATGACTTGGAGGAGATTTTCCAGCTACATTCCATGTTGCTACAAATATCCTGCACTCACATGGTAATTGAAACAAAATAAAAACCAAATCTTAGCAGGAATCAGATCAAGGCAACACCATGGTTAAGAATTGGCCATACCTATAATGGTTCACATCTGTAACTTGTGCAGCATCAAGGTCTATTTTGCTTCGCTGAACTCGATCAGAGTGCCTCTTGGACGATCTCTCTGCGCTTCAAAGTGAGGGGGTTTGAGAAGAATTTTTGAAAAAACAAAGGGGCATATAAATGAAAAGGTACAACAAACTAATAATTATCATTATTCCTTTAATCAAAACTTTGGAGGTTAAAAGAGAGCCGTTATCCAGACCAATACTGGGAGGTTTCTGATACTGAACCTGTTTTGCTTTTCTTGATGTTGCATGCTTCTCTCTCTGAGAAGCTGTGCCTCCAATCCTCACCACCACCTGAAAAAGAAATGCAATAAAGTAGTTAAAGCTGTGCTCTTTCCACTGCCAAATGCATCAATCAAACATATTCAAACAGCACAAAAAATGAATACTCTTTGCTATGAAGAAAAACAAAACATTTTTTAAATTCGTAGAGGAAAGGAACAAATGGCAGATCTTGAACTGCAGATGGAAATAGCAGGACCCCATTAATCCAAAAATATTTTTATTGCAAAAAACAGATAGTGATGCAAGAACAGAAAAAATGCTAAGTATTCAGGGTCTAGAGGAATCCAAATCCAACTCAGTGACAAGTTTCACGGAAAGGGCCAAGATTCCCCAAATCCAATAATAAGATAAAAGACCAATAATCACCTCCATAAAGGACATCATCAGCTTGAAATTCCTCAGCTTTGCTCTTGATACTGAACCATTTCTTGACCAGTGTCTTAGGCCATGAAAGCTTCACCAATAACACACACACAAAGTTGGCAATTAGAGAGAGCATAAATGCATTGAAAAAGATTCAAGGATTTTCTTATTGGCATTTTCACAAACCTTGAACTTTTTCGGGTTCTCATCTCTCATTGTTTCACAAATTCATATAGCTCTCCAGATTATATTGCAACACTGGCAAAATTTAAGGCCCTCTTTTGTTCAACCGTGGCTTTATATTTCTGGGTTTGCGTAGAACAGAATGTGAACGTTGAAAAAAATAGAATCTCAAGAAATTCAAAGAATCATGAAACAAGATTTTATTTTTCTTGAACAATCCAAGAACAAGTCCAAGCTCTTGTTTTTCAAATAAAGACAAAAGTTCGGTGATTTCTTAAAGGAGAAGAAGAGAAAAAAGGGCAACGCTCTGTTCTTTTGGTTAATGAAGAGAAAACAACATAAGAGTCAACAAGAAAAGCCCCAGCTCCTCTGCATCTTATGCACAAAAGTGCATAAGAATCCAGTTTTCTCTTCTATGTCAAGCCCCAGAGGAAAAGAAATAGTAACTGAAGGAGAAGCAATTAAAACAGAAACCAACAGAAGAAACAAGAAAAGAGAGACAAAGAGAAAGAGAGAAGTGATGCGTGGGAGAAAGACTATGAGATTCTGATAGTATAACAAGACAATGTAGAGAGTAGGGAGACATAGAGATAGAAATATAGTGTTTTTTATCTTCAATGTAACAAGCCAAAAAAAAAAAACTCGTTTCTTCCGGGTAGACAGGCAAAGCATCGATCTTGAAGAGAGAATAAAGTGTAAGGTGTTTTAGGGAGTTAAGACTTAAGGCCGCCTCTCTCTCTCTAGCTTTTTTTAATCTTTTTTTACTGACCCCAAAAACACTCGAGGACCAGCCAGTTAAGCTCCTGGTTTTGGGACGTGAAGGCAAGAGCCAGTTATACTCAGTCACCTGCTCACATTACTAGTACCCAAGTCACACCCAAAAAAAATAAAAATATATAAATATATATATATATATGTTGCTTCTGTTTTTGTGCATTGACAGCAAGGAGATACTCTTCCTGCCTTCGGTCAGTAAAGTTGGGTTTGATTTATTCTAACATGTACCGAAGGCAGTACCAATTCCTACATTTGGTGTTCTGTTCACATTAAAGAGTTAGTTACTGGAAGAAACAGAGATAAAAAGAGTTTGTTTAAGTTTAATTTATGTGTGATTTTTTTGGGTTTGGGAGATTTTATGCATAGGGTTTAGCTGTGGAAGCGATGTATCTCCTGGAAAAGACCTTGTTTGCTGCTTTTTACCAGTCCCTGTGCTGGTCTGCCATGGTAATTTTGATGCTCTTTTTGACTCAATCTAGACTTATGCCCAAGAGAAACAAGGCAATTGTGCTAATCCGAGGCTTTTTATTTCTTCTAATTCTATGTCTTCTAAAGCATTAACTCGTTTTCATGCATGGGCTAAAGCAAAGTTTTGTGCTTTGGGAGCCCCCTAGTGGGAGAGGTATATTTGTTTGCATAGATGTTGGATCTTGTTAGGACATTAAGGGTCCCAATCTCTACTTCAACTCACTCTAACTATCCCACGCGATCTCCTAGGGTTATGTGCAAACTCCATACATTATGCTAGTTTAGGAGCTAGCCAGAACAATTTAGTTTCTTGGTTTAAACCCTCCAAATTGACAAATCTCAATCCCACATGCTGCATGTGGGAGACACTGTCTGGGTGGGTCTGGGTTCCCTTTTGCTTAGTTTAAAAGTTTTTCATTGTTTCAAGGCTCTTAGCAATCAAGTAGTGTGGTGCTAGTTTATGTGTTCAAGGATATTAAACTAGTAGTCTTAAATGTAGTTGACGGCAAGACAATCCAAGTAACAACCGAAGTCTAATCTCAAATTTTGAAGCCCCCTAGCCTTACACAAACCCCCACCACTCTAGTGAAGCTTCCACTAACATCATAGCCTACTTGGCACCGATCACAGGTTGTCGAAGATTGTCCCAAGTCATTGTTGTCCAGCTAAACTCCCTCGTTTATACAAACGTGGCAACCCATTATCAGGCAGACAAGAAGATTTTCTATTCTGTTCCTGGGAAGTGCTTAATCATGCATCCTTTTGTGATTTGGTGGTTGGTAATGGTGCTTCCCATTCTATGAATCTCTAACAGCATGTTCTTGTTTGCTGCTTCTGTGAAGATGTCCAAGGAATAATTTTAGTATTAAACTTCTTAATTAAAACAAAAGGGGCCTTAAGTTTATGATAATTAGGATTAAAAATCGAAAAGGTGAGAATTGAGGCCGCCCCACTCAGGCTCTTACTAGCTCCAAAATAAAAACCAGAGAGAAAGACAGAGGAATGCGTTGTTGCATGAAAGATTTTCTGGGGGTGGTGCTCTTGAACACTGCATAACACAACGCACACTGTGAGAACATTAATTTTGACAGGCCCTGGCTTTCATGGCAAATCTTCCCCACAAGTGTACAACAAATGTAAATATCAGAAGACTGGTATCTAAATTAAAGTCCATTGGGGCCCTGTTTTTAAATGCTCATCCAGAGGGCAGGAGAGGACTCTCATTCTCTGTCTGGAGATCTTCCTCTGTGTGTACATGTACATGTATATTAGTAAACTATTTTCATTAAAATGGTATCCAAGAGGAGGATTTTCTTAAAAAAAAATTAACACCGTTTTTTTTAATTTTTTATAAAATAACACAAATAAAAATATTTTAAAAAATAGCACCATCAATAAAAAAAACCATGATTTCTAGTAACGAGTCTTTTTAAAAAAATTACACGTAAGAACTGTAGTTTTTTAATTACCATGATTTTCATTTTCAATTTATTTAAATACCACAAATATGAACATCTATTTTTCATGGTATTTTTTAAAATATTTTTTCCTTAATTAAAAAAATATAACACCCATGCTGGTTCGAAAAAAATACCCCTACGAGTAAGAGGACACCGTACATATACTTGGAATCAATAGAGATATGATTGTATTTATGAATCCTCAAATATTTATTTCATGGCCTGTACCTTAATCAAATCGCCACGTAGGATCAGACCAGCAGCCGTCAGATTATTTCATAAATGGATCTAGCGCTGTAAAATAAAGTATCTTTAAAGTCATTATAATTAAGAATAATAATTTGAAAAATATTTTTATTTCATAGTACAGAAAAGAACACTCTTTTCCTCAAAACATGTCATAAATTAAGTCTGATCTTCTTCTTCAATAATGTTTTTATGGTCCTCTTATCCTCAACTTTCGGAACTTTATTGCTCATTCAAACTACAGTAGCAAGAATTAATGATCTTGGTCCTAAGAGCAATCCATTCGAAAATCACTACTACCTGATGTTGAAATTTAAAATTGTATTTTTACTTGTATTTGAATGCTTTTTAAAAACTCATTTGATATTTAAAAAAAATCAAATCGGTGTGTTTTTAATTATTATTATGTGTTAATTTAAAAAATTAATATATTTTTAAATAAAAAATACATTTAAAAAACATCACCTTACACTATCCCTGGATCCCAAGTGCATACTAGAAACTAGGATTTTTTTTATTTTATTTTTTTAATATCCAATTATCAAGTGTACTAGTGCAACAAAAGATATGTTTCGAAAACTGCCTTGCCAACTTGATCGAATTGAACGAAAAACAGCGATGTAGAGGTTAACGAGGCAGTCAAAGGATGATGTTTGATTTGTACATTGGGCAAAGTATCTGTTCATTGTAGGAATTTGATTTCCTTACTGTTTCTTTTTGCCTTTTCAGCTTTAGAAACACCCCCGCTCAAGCCAGCTTCTTTCCC